GGTGACTCAAATGAGAAAAGTAGGTTAGGTTCCTAACTATGGACGTAAGTTTGGTGATCTGAATAACATACGACACATATAAAGACAGAAGTCAATATTCAGCTTTAGGCATTTGTAACAGAGTGAAAAATGAGTGTCTAGTATTGCCAGTTCTTTGATTTTTATAGGAACAGAAATTGAGATTTTGAAGTGAATTATCTGAGATTTAGAAATTGACAACTTACTCAATTAAACAACAGCCACTACTCCAGGACTGTGATGATCACACAGAATATGGCCATGGGCTGGCTGGTTGCAGCCTGCAGATAGCCAGTTTTTAATCTGTGTTGTAGATGCTTGCATATTTGCAATGGAAAATGTTCTTGCTTTCTTGATGCTTCAGGAACATGTGGCTGGGTTTCGGATTAATTTCACTTTAATATAAGTTATGCTTTTATTGAAAGCTGTGAATGATGTATACTCTTTCAAAGGAGATAATATCACTGAGAACCAGTGTATGTGCATAAAGAGCACATTGTCTGGGACTACACTGTGTTCTTTATAGTGATACTATGTACTGGCATATCAGGACATGCTTAAACAGAAGTTTGATTCTGTCTTACTCTTTCACAAATTATGTGTACAGAAAAATGCTGGCTAGCTAATGCAGTTATGAATCTTGTGATGAGGTCTAAGCATTCGAGTGTTAAATAAATTTAAGTTATTTGGGAAGGCATCTTCTACCTTGTTTTAGACTGTTTTTTCCCCCCAAACTTTTTAGCTACAGCAGTGAAAACAAAAGCAGTATAAAAATTTAAATTGGTTTAGTTACCAAAACATTAGAAGAAAAAGCCAAATTAAATAAATCCGAGACATTAGCACATCTAAACAAATGAGAGTTTAAAAATATAAAGGAAATGCTCTGAACATTAATAGAGATACACAAATTTAGGAATTATGAGTTAGCTGGTTTAAGATTATACCATAATTAGTCCAGTTTATTTAGCCATGTAAAAAACATTCAGTCATTGGACATATTTATTCAAGGACTGGATATTTATTTTAGAAATACTTGTCTACATTGGATGATGAGCTGGATGCAGGTTGACTAGAACTCCAATCCCAAGATTGCCATTTGGCATCCTTGTAATTGTGGTTAAGTTGCTTTGTATTATTTTAGTCAAATAATAGATATTAAAGTAGTAGTATAAGAATTAGACAAGGTAACACAGAAATATCACACTGTTATACTATTTTTTTTCAGAATTTTATTCCCTTTCAACTATTTGAACACATAAATTCTGTGATTCTTAGCTTCTGCCTCTATACCCAGATGGATATATAACTGACTATTGAGTAATACACCCTAAATAGAAATAATAAAGCATATTGGGGTTAGGAAAGATGATTGTGAAAAATATCCCATAAAGGTAAAGCTGGTTTTTAAATAGTCTGATTTTTAGATGAAATCATAGTATGGTGCCAGGACGAAATTCAGCAAAAGTATTCTTAGACATTTATAAAACAATAATAATTATACAGCTATAGAAGGCCTAGCGTGAGAATTTAAAAATGTTTAAAAGTAAAACTAAATATGGATATTTTAAATATTTTTTATTATCTGGATTTATCACTTTGAAAAACAAGTAAATAAATAATCCTACACATAAATTATATTTTTCTGTATAAATTAGTTGCTTAATGAAAAATTGAGCTCTAATTAAGCTTCATATATTGAAAGGAAATTATAACAAATGAAAAATAAGTATGTAGATGAGAAAACCAGAACATTTAAAAGAACATTAAGGTATATGGTCTAGAGAGAAAAAAATCATCTTACTTTTTAATAGCTTATATTATGGGATCTATATTATATTTTTCCCTTTTATAGTGGACTAAGAAAAAAGAATAAGGTTAAACAAAGTTTCACACTATTTACATAAGATGAAAAATGACAATGTAAGATATGTAACTGCCTAAAATTAATAAATTCTTTTTCTAAAACTCATTGAGAACAGGATAGGAACAAACTGACTGATTCTTGAGTATATTAGAATTAGAGCTTGTCTTATTTAAATGTATAGGTATGAAATATATGACATTGAAATTTTCTTGAACTAGTCACTTCTTCAGGCCAATAAAAGTTGAAATGTGAATATGAAATGAATTTAAATGAAAGAATTACATTCTAACAGTATAGTATGTCTTGATAGGATAGCTCCATTAAATTATTTCTTTCAGAAACTAGTGTACTCATTTGCATTTTATTGAGTTGATAACTTAATAATATTTAGGGTTTTTTAATAAATGAAAGATATAATACAGTAGGACTTAAAGACTTGAATAATATGAAAATTGCAGTTGTCAATACTAATTTCTGATTTTCAGATTCCCCAAAAGCTTTCACAGATTTGTCACATCCCTTTCCAAATTTTTTCAGATTCTCACACAAAGCTGTCAGCATGCTTGTTGCAAACACCTATTCCAGCATTTCTTTAGGAAGCTTTTGTTTTCATTTCAGTCTGGAGTGGTTGCTTTCTAGGCTTTTGGACAATTCTTATCCTTGGACTTCTCTATACTCCCATGGTCTTGGAGTTCTTGTTTTCTGTATCTTCCTGCATTCTTCCCTCTTAATTGCCCTTATTTTGTTGAGGATGGCTTAGGAGAATTTTTGAGTCCTTACACAATTGAGAATGGTATTATTCTATGGTCATACTTTGCAGATAGTTTCTCTGAACATGAAATTTAACTTCGTATTTTGAAGACATTGCTTTTGAGAGGTACAGTGATAGTTTCAACGTGACTCCTTTGTATGTTACCTGTTTTGTGTCACTGGGAACTCTTAGTCACTTTTCTATCCCTCTTCTTTAATTTCATGGTGATGCTCTGGTTTGGCTCATTTGTTGTGCTATTCAGTCACCCTTTTAATCAGGAAACTTGGATCTGAAGTTCTACGAAATTTTTCATTCATTTTCAAGAAAGAAACTTTCACTTCTTCCCTTTTTTTCTTTTTTTTTTTTTAATAGCTGCTACTTGCCAACTACATGATATATGAGACTAATAATGCCCTGATGTTTTAACATTATTATCTATCTGTCTCTTTATTCTAGTTTCTGGGAGATTTTCTTATGGTACTTTCTACCTTCCCATTGATTTAAAATTCTTGCGCTTTTAGTACTTCCAACAAGAATTCTATTTTTGTTCTATAATAATTTCTTCCTCCATTTCTTTTTAATTTAAATCTAGTTTTGTTTAATAAGATATTGTTCTTTATTCTGCCCCTAAGGATATTAGGGAAAGTTTTGACATTCTCTTCTGCTGTTTTCATAGTCTATATTTATTTGGAGATCCTTTTATATTTGTTCATTACAAAAATGCATTTGTGTCTGTATTTCTTCAAGTATTGGGTGGTGGGACTGTTCATTTACATTCAAGAAGATGGTAGTAAAGTGAATTGGAAATATACTATGTGCAGAGGTGGGTTTAACATCTACTGTCTTGCTGGTTTTTAAGTTTCCCTTGTACGTATCAATTCATACCCTTTTTACTCATTTATTGCTATTTTAACAGTATTTCCAAATGGCACAGATAAATGCATTATTAAGTTTGTTAGTTTTAACAAGTTGTATAAATATATTTAAACATTATTGGCACTTTCTATGTTTTTAGTTACTATTTGTAATTATCTTAAAGAATTTTGTATTATTCTGCTGAGTAAAAGTACTATAGTTTGCCTAACTGTTCCTCTTTTGTTATGACTTTAGGTTATTCATGGTTCAAAAAGCATCATTCATCATCACTAGGAAAGCAAATATTCTATGAGGAAATTCTAATAGAATACTGTTTGTCTAAGCTTAGTTCATTGATTATTTTATCTTTAATATGCTTTATGCATGTTCTCTTCTCTGACCATTGTTTGGTAGAAGTATAAGAGTGTTTTCTCTTTAAAAGTAGCTTACTATACTAATGCTTTGAAGAAAAAAAATGGGTATTTGTTAATTCATAATTAACAAAACTGTTGTGATTTACTATTTTTCCATATGGAAATGAAACATGGTAATAAATGTTAAATTAATAACTTTGGACCAATTTTAAATATACTAGTATTTTTATTTGTTAATAATAATATAGATTTTATTGCATACAGATGATTTTTGGATTTAGTATTTAACTTTCATAAAAAATTTCAGTTTGATCTAGTAAAATGAATTAGAATGACTTAAAGTCATTTTTGATTTTGGTATCTAAAAACAATTATTACTTTTTGAAATTTTTAAATTAGTCTTTCTGATATTTGTATTAATATTTATTTTGAAATTTATCATCCTACTTAAACATCATTTCTGAAGAACTGAGTAAACATATAATTCTATTATTTTTTCTTTGTAGTAATATTTAAAAAGAAATATAGTTATGTGATGCATAATAATGTGAAGGTCAATGGCAGACCACCCGTACAATGGTGATCCCATAAGATTGGGACAGTAGTGACATTGAAGCCATCTTGCTTGTGTAAGGACAAGCAAGTATAAGTACATTCTGTGGTGCTCACATAAGGAAATTGCCTAAGGTCACATATCTCAGAATGTATTTCTGTAATTAAATGACACATGACTGTAATTATATATTATTTTTAAGGCTTTTTAACATTAGTTTTTATATAATATTATCTTTACAATGGTTAATTTTTTATCCTGTGATTTTAGTTATTACTATGAACTAGGATTAATTTTAGATGCTGTTGATATTTAAAAAAGTATGTAATGGGCAATTTTTCAAATAGATCTTTGATTTGTGATTTGTTTTATGAGAACCAGTAGTGGATAATGTGTAAAATTTTTCTGAAGCAGTAAAGAGAACAGAATGTAGGTATAGTTCTTTTCTGTTCTTTAGGATCAGTCTGCTCAAAACATTATAAATTTAATGATTATTTAATCTGCCTTTTTCTGATTATAAATTTTAAATATTTATGTGGACGTGTATATACAAATGCACATTTAAAATAATTTGTTTTGTCATAGTTACTTGCCATGGTTTGAAGTATATTACAAGCTTCTAAATACTCTGGCAGATTACTTGGCTAAGGAACTGGTAAGCTATATTTTTTATTTTATTTTTATTGTGTTAAAATATACATAACATAAAATGTTATCATTTTAACCATTGTAAGTATATAGTTTTGTGGCATTAAATATATCCACATTATTCTACATCCATCAATTTCTAGACATCTCTAGAAGTTTTTATATTGACAATCTGAAACTTAATACCCATTAGACTTTAACTACCCATTTCCTTCTATCCTCTTTCCTGAAAATGACCATTGTACTATATCTGCCACTATGATTCTATGTACTTCATGTAAGTGGAATCACACAATATTTATCCTTATATTCAAGATACCCATGTTGTTCCATGCATCAGAATTTCCTTTCTTCTTAAAGACTGAAGGTGGCTTTCCATTATATCTATATATGCTGAAGTCTGTTATTTTATTCAACTGTTGGTGGACACAGATTGTATCTGCCTTTTGGCTTTGCTTTTATGAAGACAGTTGTACAAATACACATCTTTCAATCTTATACTCAGTTTTTCTTGGTGTATACCTAGAGGGGTTAATGCTGGGTAATCCAGTAATTCTGTATTTCAGTTTTTGAGGAACCATCCTACCATTTTCCACAGTGGCTACATCATTTAACATTCCTACTAGTAATGTACTAGAGTAATTTTGATTGTATTTGCTTTATTTCATTTATTAATTGATTTTTTTCTGTTCCAGGAAAATGATTTGAATGAAACGCTCAAATCACTCTATAACCACCCAGTACCAAAGGCAAACACTCCCGTCACTTTGAGTGTGGTAAGTAATCACTAAATGCTTTAAGAAATCTTAGCAGTTTCTCATTTAAGAACAATGTTACTTTAAAAAATTATTTACCATGTCACCCATGCTTCTGCTTCTGGAGAAGCTTTAGCGATAGGACTAAGATTAGTAGGTGATAATTTTGAGTCTTTTGATGAGCTATAATTGTCATAACTTGATATATTTGAGTTGTGTATTTTAGTAGTTATTAAACTGAAGCACTAAAAAATATTTTGAACTGAAAATAACTGTGAGGTTGTGATGATCTGATGAACTGAATGGTTGTGATGATCATTCATACTTCAGGTGAAAGTCATGTATAAATAAAGGAGTACATACAAAATGTGTGTGTGTATATGTGTAGATAAAATCACTAGTCCCCTAAAATGAAAACAATTGTTAATAAGAATAGAAAATGACATTGCCACAAATGACATGCAGGATGAAAATACTGGATGAAGAGTTCTTGTTCTTTCCTTAGTCTGAAATATGTCTTCTGATATAATCACAAAATAATGTAAGTATCATTAGAGTTTGTCAAAACAGCAAGCCTGTTTACTATTGAAACTTTTTAATGAACTGTGCCATCTATATCTAAAAATAGACTAAAAACAAAGTTCATGGTAGTAAAATGTGGATATTTTCATTAATATTCTCCATTACTTTGGCATGTGAAACTGAAGGTTGAATTTTATTTATATTGATTTGTTTCTTTCACAATGATAGTAAACTTCCATATTAACAAACAAGAAAAAATTTTACCAGGCAAGAAAAATTGCTAGGATAAGTAACTTGAAATATAGATAGTAATAGGTATTTTGTGTTTTTGCAAGATAAGGAAATCATTATTATTATTATTCTTTCTTTGGTAACAACTTTCTCCTTGCCTGATAAAATTATATTTATACTATAATTTAATAGTAGTTTTTTTCTTACTTAACTCCATTCTTTACATTTTCACTGTCATACCCTCATTCAGGTGTTAAGCACTTCAGATTGTCCTTAGTCTAGAATCTTTCCTTCCCGTTCTTTCTTCAAATTAAACCACCTTAAACCTTGTAAAGTCCACTAATGAAAAACAACTCCTCATTTTATATACAGAATTTGTTTGAACTTTTGGCCAGGCTTTCTGGACCATCCAATTCCTAATTTTACTCTAACTTTTCATGTTCTGTATCACAATTTTTTTTTAAATCAGTCCCTACAGTGGTCACATTGTTTAGCCCAGTTTCTTGAATGAACGTCTTGCTTTCCTTTTGCACTGAATCTTATTTATAGACTGTCTATATTTAGACTAGCTCAGTTCCCACCTTTGTGAAGCTCTTGCCACACACCTCAACGTGTTCTTTCTTTCCTGTGATCTCTGCTGCCTTGTGTCTGAATCATCTTTTGTTGGATACTGCCAAAGTGGAAAGAGACTGGGGATGGAAAGCCAAGAAGACCCTGGATATTTTTAATCAAATTTGAGAGTCATCAGCAGAGATAGTTGTAGCTTTGTGAAGAATATACTGTAGAGAGAATATGGAGAAGAGGCTAAGGTCTAATTGCCCAATTAGACTGTGAGGACGAAGAAAAGAAATCCAGTGGAAAAAATAGAGGAAAGAGCAGATGGGGAGAAATTCACACTCATAGGTCATGAAAGCCAAAAGAATGCAGTGTGTATGGTTAGTGGCAATACAGCAGAAAGGCAGCAGAAAGTGCAAGCAAAACAAAGAATAATCGTTGGTTTTCCAAAAAGAGCTCCTCTTTCTTGGAAAGTATTATGTTTGAAGTGATTCTGACACTTTGCTAAAGAGTTATGAAAATTTATTTCCCTTTAATTGACATATAATAATTTTACCTATTTATGGGATGCAGTGTTGTGTATGTGTAGATTATATGACAATGAAATCAGAATCTTTTAGTTATACTTGGAATCTCTGCTTCCATGACAAATTTTTAGATTTCAAATATGAGTTAAATCACTTATATATCCTTCTGTGTCTGACTTGTTTCATTTAAGATAATAAGCTCTATTTTCATGCATGTTGCCACAAATGACATAATTTCATTTCTTATTGCTGAATATTCTGTTGTATATATGTATCATTTAAAAATACCTATGCATTCATTGTCAGATGGGGAGGTTAATGCCATGTCTGGTCTGTTATGAACAATGATGCATTGAACCTGGGAGTGAAGACATTCTGGTTTCCCTTCTTATGGCCAGACACCTAGTAGTGGGGATACTGAATCATATGGCATTTCTATTTTTAATTTTTTGAAGAACCTCTATACTGTTTTCCATAATGGTTGTGCTAATTTACGTTTCCACTAACAATGTATAAAAGTTCCCCTTTATACCCTCCACAACTCTTATTATTTTTTGTCTTTTGGATAATAGCATTGTAACTGGGGTGAGGTGATAACACGTTTTGGTTTTGATTTGCATTTTCTTGATAGCTATTTATGTTGAGATTTTTTTCTGTATATATTTTGGTAAGGTAGACCTTTGAATAGCCTATGATATCTTTCACATTTTCTACACCTAGTCTCAAGTGTTTGGTAAAATAACTTGTTACCTATGTTTAAATTTCATTTGCTTCTAATAACAGAATGTACCCAGTGTTACACACTGCTAATGAGGGACAATTTTGGGATTAGAACATTTATCTTCAACTACTAGTAGAGATTTTAGTTTTATGTTGCCAGATTAAAAATTTATGATCATGGAAGTTTTCTTGAAAGTGGGTTAGTGGTCACTAGAATATCAGATTTTATGAGATGTTAAATGTCTAAAAATTGATTTTTTTGAAACTGTGTTTCAAAAATCATTAAATAACCATAGTGTTCTCTACTCTCACAATATAAAAATACTTTCTTTAGGATTTTTTCTAGCATAGAATTACCAAATCAGCATTTAAAATAACACTTATAATCAATGGATAATGTGGCTGCATGAGTTTCTCTCAAAAACACTTTTACATAAGTTTCCCCTATATTCATTTTTTCTTATGTATTATAAGAATCAAGAAATATTTATTGCCAGTGAGCAAGTATTGAAAGATCAGCTCTCACTAATACCGGTGAGTTGAAAGACATTGGCTTCTAAAAATCATTATGAAATTGGGAAAAAAGTTGCTTCTTTTTCTCTGCCTTTAAAATTCACCTCAGTCCTATGGGAAATGGTAGACTGACTCTTTAAAAAATAATCATTTCGAATATATTTTCTGTTTATACTATCTTTTAAACCATGGTCTTATCAAATGTAGTTATTGAAAACCTATCCAAATAAAATTAATAGAGACCAAATATGCATGTTCTCCATCTTCAGAAAAAGCAGTTTTAAAGCACATTCACAGCATGAAATTTTTGTCACAAGATTATCTTGTGGTTTATCTCAGATTATTTTTCCACCATGGAAAATGATACATTATGACTGTGTTAACCAGCCTTGTTCTCTCTAGTTTAATTGTGCTTTAATACTGCCTAGAAAAGTTTCTGAGTCTTTAATTTTAAAGATGATACTAAATCAAGATATTAAAATAATTTGGAGCTTAATATGAACAGAAAATAAAACAGTTTTTGGTGATTAAGTTGCACTTTGATTTTATAAATATTTGTAGATATTGTGGGAAATATGAAGGCATATATACTATGTTTTGTATGTAAATATTTCAGTGAGCTATTGTATTGTTTGGTACATTGTAGCATTTGATTCTTGTTCACTTGGTGTGTGAAGGTCATTTTGTGATGAGCAACTATATTTTTAAGATTTAAGCATTTAATAACTGTGTTTTACAAAGAGATTTATTGTGACTTAGCTTATAAACTCTGGAATTTTAATATATTTTGACATATTTTTGGGAGGAGAAGCTTTATTTCTCTAGTCTACCTAAATTAGATATGTTTTAAGAATATATACTAGTAATTATATATATATATATATATATACACACACACACACACACACACACACACACACACACACATACATACAGGTGTATATGTGTGTGTGTATAATTTTTTTGTTCTCTACTTTTTTACTTACATTATGGATTCCTGCATAGAAGAATAGTATAATTATGGGTATATCTGCATTTGTGAGAAATAATGAAGAAATAAGGAATAATGGTGTTATGTCTTTTTCCTTTTTATTTGTTCTGTTATACATTTCTTAATATGTTGTTGATAAAGAAATTAAGAAAAATGATATGAGGGAAAGTATTTCTTCATTTAGAACATGTAGGTAGGATCTTACACATTCAGTTAGGTCCTGAATTTCCCTGAATCAAGTTGAGGTATGTGTATATGTGTATAAAATCTTTGGTAATATACTCTTTTTGGCCTTAACTGAAAAGTCATTGTTAAATTTATATAAACCTGCTCTTTCATTTAAGAGTTTCTTAAATTCAACAAATCTTGAGTGTCAGCCCCCATGACATTTATTAATTAAACTATTTTCTTATTTTTAATCGCAAAATTTAATTCTTTTCTTACATGATTTATTTTTACTGATTAGCATTCCTACTTCATTGCCCCTGATGTAACTGGACTCCCAACAATACCTGAGAGTGTAAGTTTTCTGTTTTTTACTTTTATTACTTATATTACAAATTTTATTTATTTTGGTCTCACTCTTATGGATTCCTGCATAGAGAAATAAGATACATTATAACTGTCTGTATTTGTGAGAAATAATGAAGAGATAAACAATAATGGTGTTGTATTCTTTTCCTCTTTATGCATCTGCCCTGTTATACCTTTCTTAATATGTCCTTGATAAAGAAAATTGGGAAAAATTATCTGAGGAATAGTTATGAACATTCTGTTAGGTTCTGCTTCCCTATACAAAGCTGAGAAAGTGTCTCAGGAGATGGCTACTTTAATGAACTGACGACTGCATTTTAGATTTCTTGTCTATGACTCTGTCCTAATCTAAGTGTCCTATACTCGATTTCCTGGTTTTATTTTAAAGTAATATATATTTCATGAAGCTTGAAGAGTATTATAAGAAATTGGAAAAATGAATTAATTTTGCATTTTAATAAGAGTTCAAATTAATATATTGTTGATAAAGAAAATTAAGAAAAATGATATGAGGGAAAGTATTTCGTCATTTAGAACACTTAGGTTGGGTCTTACATATTCAGTTAGGTCCTGAGCTTCCCTGAATCAAGTTGAGGTGTGTGTATATGTGTAAAAAATCTTTGGTAATGTACTCTTTTTGGCCTTAACTGCTTGTGTGAAAAAAATATTGTTAAATAATTTTTTATTTAAGAGCCTCTTAAATAGTAGAAATAGTCTGTGTTTCTATAATGTCACAAATTAATGTTTTATGAAAAAGTTTATACGGGTAAGTGGAAATAACAAATATTTTTTGCTTTTTTAAATAACTATGAAAATAAAATATTCCCTTATATACTTTTTCTTCAGTTTCTCTTGGAAAGTTGAACTGAATCTAAATAATTCAATCAAAAGTCAAGGGAAAATCAATTGGAAAAAATATGTTCAAATACACTTATTATTTACCTAAGAATTCTACTCTTTTTTCAAATGTTTTCAAACCTACTGAGTGAAAATAAAGAAGGCAAGTGTAAATATTCTAATACTCAAAATAGAATATCTAATCAAAACTGTTTCTAGTAGAGGTGAATCCTGGGAAACCCTATTTAAAATGATTTTTTTAGACAACCCCTATGAAAAGACTTAGCATTATTTCACTTACTATGGGCCTGAGATAGATCCTCAAGTGTCAAGGCCCATCACAGATAGTGGGGTCTTGACCTCTGCACCTTGTGCACAGGGCATCCTCCTATATGTACCTCATGGACAACTGACTATATCTTGGCTTATGTGGTTGTGGCCCCTTCACAGCAGAGTTTCTAATACAAAGTCAAAGTAACTCTCTTCTACCTTCTATCCTCTCCACCTTTCTCTTACATTTACCAACAGACAACTAATAGCTTCAATTAACAAATACCATGGATTTTTAAAGACTATTACTTTGAAAGTTTTAGAGAATTAAACATTCTAATGAAATGCCACTGAGAATAAAAGTTTTTAAAATCTCCCTTAACACATTTTATTTAGCAAAAAAGTCTTGTTTAGGGGGAAACAAACAAACAAAGGACAGAAATATCAAGAAGCATTCTGTGTTGTGAAATAATTCCCTATCTAAAGATATCTATCTTTAAAATTATAGGAAAATATTAATATTTAATGTTGTGAATGTAACTTTGTATATGCAGTGTTCAAGTGGAAGGTGAAGTGGGCCTTAATTAAAACAGGAAATGGATCTCTCCCCATCAATTCAACATCACTAACTGATATATAGTCTTTACTGATATGTTCTTCTCTGACTACCAGTTTATTCTGATAAAGTTTCTGTCTTTTCAAAACTGAAAAAAAAAAAGCAGGATTTCTTTTCTTTTTGCCCAACTAAGTTTCATTCTTCCAGGTCATAGTCCACCTGGTAGTACAGTTTCAATTTATTATCATATCTTAATCAGTTTCTTCATTACTTTATTGCTTTCTGATATGCTTAAATTTGATTACAGAAAGCTAATAGTAATTTCAAGGAGAGAATCTGAAAATCAATGTAATTTGTCCCAATTTTGTTCTTATGTAGGATACATCTTATAAGAGTGTTAAATCAAGGAATCAATTTAGGATATCACCAAATACATTTGGTTATAGTGGTATAAAGCAAGCCTGACATGTGGTATAAACAAAGGATATTCCTTAATAAAGAATCAAGGACTTCTTATAAATCCATCTTATCCTTTGGTTGTCTTGTGTATTGGACAGTGATTTTTGCCTGCAGAGTGAATGACAAACATGAGAAGACTCAGAGAATTCTGGAACAGTGGTTTTTCAAAAATCACTGTCTGTAAGAATCATCAGGAGTATATGTTTAAACAGCAGTTTCTTGGGACCATACTCTGAAGATAATAATTCAGTAGTTTTGTGGGGGCCCAGGAAATCAGCTTCTTTTCAAATACTTGGTGTTGGGGGAGGGAGGCTGGGAAATATGCGACCCTCTGATCACCCTCTGAGAAACACTTTTGTGGAGAGGGTTATGCTTCCAATAATAATGGAATATTGCATGCTTCATGTAGCAGCAGAATAGTATTAAATTTAATTATTTTAATGAATGCCACTTTTAATAACAACATCCTTTGAACTTTAAGACTTTTTGATAAAAGTATAAAATGTTTTTCTTCATATTCACCATAAGCTGTAACTTGAGAATTATTTTTCACTTGTACAGAGAAATCTTACAGAATATTTTGTTGCTGTGGATGTGAACAATATGCTGCAACTGTATGCCAGTATGCTGCACGAAAGGCGCATCATTATTACCTCTAGCAAATTAAGCACTGTAAGTACTTCACACTTTCCTTTTAAATAGCATGTATTGAGTGTTTCACAAAAAGACCTAAAAACCTCTGCAGATTTAGAAATGTGTTATGTGTACTTATAAGACAATATCTACATACTTTTTTATATATGGTTTTAATCTGGCTCTTGAAGTAAAAAAGTCTGATTTATAGAAGGCTTTCTCAGATGCATTAAATCAGGTTAATTATTTTTTCTTATCAGGAGATGAGAGTTTTTTTTCCTCTTTTTAACTCTCCACAGTTCATTTTAGTACCTTCTACCACATAAAGAATTCTTAAGAGCTATTATGAGATCTTTATTATTCACTTATAGCTTTTTCCATTGGAGCTACTTGAAAGAAATCAAGGGGCCATGATAATAGCTGCTACCCTAACCTGGTAATAGGTAGATTCATCTTTGTTGCCAAGTAGTGGTTTGGGAGTAGATTCTATAATAGTTCTGGTTTGGAGGAGCTCTTCAGACTGATAATAACTTAAAAGTCAAAGTAGCATTTTTTATAAATCACAGGTTTTATGACACTCACTAAAATGTTCTTTTGGAAGGTCTTCATTACTGTGGTAAAGGCTGTGAGAATAGGAGGATTTTCTTGGGTCACAGAAAAAATTTTAAATGTATTTTACTAGTTTTCATAATTTATTCTGCATTAAGCATAAAAATATGTTTTTTTCAACTTTTTAGTTAATACAAACTTAAAGTTTTGAGTAATCTGTAAGATATTAAAAACCATTATTCAATACTGCATGAGTTTGCTTCTGCACATATTTGTTTACTTGATAATAAATAAAACCATAATTTTAATATTTTATTTTCCTAAAGTAGAAATAAAAATTTTATAATATTTTAGCACCTAAAAGTAGAATGAGGGTTAGGATTTCTTTATTTCTTTGGGATATCTGTTTAGTATTTAATAATGAGAAAGGTATTTTCAGAGACATTAAATGGTCATCCCAAGGCCAAAAAACTAGAAATAATTAATGAGAAACTAGGTTTCCTAATTCTGTCTTGGCTTATTTATTTTGCTTTACAATTGAAAAAGTAAAATTTTGAGATTTTAAATATTTAATATTGATAAACTCACTTTTCCCCAAATTGAAATACATTGTACATGTTGAAAAATGTAAGCATATAAAGGAGTAAATGTGAAAAAGTGATGAGGTAGTATCAGAGAGTAAGTACTGGTCAGTTGTAATGTAGGTCATATTTTTCTTATACATCTTTAAAACATGTTGAGATGTTCAGTCTGAATCACATGGTACTTTGACTCACTGCTTCAGAGGTTCAGTCCATGGTTGGCTGCTGATTCCATAGTTCAGGGCCTGAGGTAAGGCAGAACATCATGGCAGAGGGCATGGTAGAGGAAAGATGCTCAGTTCATGAAGCCAGGAAGGAGAGAGAGAGAAAGAGACAGAGAAAGAAAGAGAGAGAGAGAGAGAGAGAGAGAGAGAGAGAGAGAGAGAGAGAATGAGAGAGAGGGAGAGAGAGTGAGAATGAGAATGAATGCAGGTATGTGAGAAAGCACTTGAGAACAAGAAATCATGGATAATATAATCCCCAAAAGCACACCAGCAGTGACCTACTTCCTCCACCCATGCCCTGTCTGTCTACGGTTACCACCCATGAATCCATTCAAATTATTAACCCATCAAATGGATTAATTGACTGATTAAGTTACAGCTCTCATAATCCAATCATTTGACCTCTGAACATTCCTTTATTGGTTCACACTTGAGCATTCAGGGGTTATCTCATATCTAAACCATAACATTTTATTTATTTGAGTTTCTATTGTTTTTCACTTATCACTGAAGTAAACCCATTCTTTATTCTCTGTCCACCTCTTCCTCCTTAATTTTTAAACATGATATTAATATTATAAAGGATATTTTTATATTGATTTTATGAAGATTAAAATAATTTTACAAATTGTTTTATAGGATTAACTTTATAAGAACTAATTTGTATTAGGATTAATTCATGCAATGAATATTTATTAGGCACATATTATGCATCAGATATTTTCCTACATACTAAGAATTCAACAGAAAGCAAAACAAAGTTCAAGCAATCTTGGTGCTTATATCCGACTGTTGTGAAACAGATAAACAAATGAACAAATAAATAGTTGTTATGTCATACAATGCTGAGTGCTATTTGTTAAAGGATAAAGTGAGTGTGCCTGTACAGAGGATAAGGCAAGAGCCAGGTTTTGGTTTTATATAAGGTAGTTGTGGGAGGGAATGCCTCTTCAGTGAGATAGAACTTAGGCAGAGATCTGAGGAAAATAAGCTATGTGAATGGAGTGTAAGCTGCTGCATTTAGAACACAGTAGGAATAAATCTGAACACGTGTTTTTGAAAATATTTGGTTTTATTTTAATTTTTATCCCTCTCTTAGAGGATGTGTAACCTTTCTGACTTGGTTTCTTCAAGAGTAATTGCAATCTTAATCTCATAGGGTTGCTATAAGAATTAATGGACACAAACACATAATTGAAGTGCTTAAGATTGTGTCTATGTAGGATAAATGTTCAATGTTTAGTTTTTTTTTTTTTTGAGAGAGAGAGAGAGAGAGAGAGAGAGAGAGAGAGAATTTTAATATTTATTTTTTAGTTTTCGGCAGATACAACATCTTTGTTTTGTATGTGGTGCTGAGGATCGAACCCGGGCCACACACATGCCAGGCTAGCGCGCTACCGGTTGAGACACATCCCCAGCCCTTAACTGTAGTTTTATAACAGCCTAGATTTGTAGTTTAGAGCAAAAATTAACATGCCTATCCTTTAATTTAATATTTTACTAAAACGTATTGTTTTAAAGGTTGGTATTATGTAGGGAGTTGTTTCCTATGTTCAAGGTCAACTTAATATCAGCAGTTTATGACAGTTCTTAAAAACTTTTGGGTGATGTCACCTGTAAGTTACCAGCTTTGTTTTGGATCATTCTCTGGGGCAGTTGAACTGATAAAATAAATATAATTCAATTTGCTTTTCATGATCTTCTTACCCTTGTAATGTGGGAGAAGCTGCTTTACTTGAATATATCTTGACCAATTCTCTGATATATATAGTACCTATAAATATATGTGCTATAACTTCCATGGATAGTAAAATTTAAGATGAAGGATTAATATCATGATATAAATTAGAGATAAAGTATTTTTTAAGAAAAACTTAATGAAATCGCTGAAATATCCAAAGAAAGAATTATCACTAAATAATTGACTTGATTTTAAGATTTTTTACATTCTTGTATTTTTACATACCATAGGAACTATAACTTACTTAGTATTAATGAAAACATTTTTTCACCCCTTGATCATCTTTTAAATATATATAGCCAAAAATCTCAATTATTATAAGAACCCATATAAGTTAAAGTGTCTTAACATTCACAATTCTATTATTTTAACAGTTTGTTTGCCTTGGTTGTTTACTCTTGAAAACCATAACATTTTTCTGATTATGTTAAAGTGATGTTTGTCAAACTATAGCTTGCTGTAGTTTTTTTTTTTTTTTTTCATGGCAATACAGTGGTGGGGAATCAACTAACTTAAGGGGACCCTTTCTTCAGATGCTATTTGTAATTAAGAATGATTAGTTTTAACTTTTTTTGAAAGATAAAATTTAAAATAAAAATATTTAGTTTTAAGATATATAAGCAAAAATATCAAGACTGTTATTATGTCTTGAAGATTTTAACAGGTTTTCCTCCCATTTATTCAAGTGTGTATTGTGTTAGGATTAATTATTATATTTTTACATGTTTGAGTTTAATAAACAGGGACATCATCAATTTTGTTTTTATTCTTTGATTTATACATTAATAAGTATACATGAAATGGTTTGCAATAATCTTGAACTAGAAAATTGATTTTATGCATGCTGTAGGCAGGCCTTAGATGTTTAAGCCCCAAGTGAATCTTGGTAGACTAGCAGAATATCCTCTCAGACTCTCATATATTCAAAGCAAAGGAATAAATAATGGTATTACAAGGTTGTATCAGTTGACTTATTGCTGTTTTGTGACCATAGGTAGGGAGGACTGCTGTTTAAAGTCATGTCATCCATTCTCAAATCAGTCAGGCATGAAGCCTTGTCATATGCCTCTATAATTGTACCACACCAGACTTTCTCTAACTAGTCAGCTGGGGCTGTGCATTTTGTCTCAAACACCCGGCTGGCCAGCATCTGACAGGAGCTTTCTCATCATCCTGTCAGTAATATGTTAACTAGAGTGTATCTTTGTGGCCTGTAGAAGCAGGTGGAAGGGATGCTTCTCTTTAAAGCAGATGTCTAAGTGTTAGCTACTATTTGGACCAATATTTAGTTGGTAAATATTACCATCTTAAAGTCTGTAAGCATGTTAGTTACAGAGATTTGATTGTGCAGTGCCTTTTCTTTCTAGACTCTTTAGAGCAAGCAATATGCTGTGAGTGTTGGAATTGCATTAATAAACTGTAATTTCTTCCTTTGTTATAGTTGCCCCCAGGCATTTAAGCATATGCTTTTCTCTCCCTTTCTCATTAATTCTATCAAGGGCATACACAAAAGGAAATCTTGTGATTCCCCAGAAAATCAGCTCTTAAAACATAGATTTTATATGTTTAGTTTGACTAAAGAGGAGTCCAGAGGATTTTAACCTCTCCATCTGGATTGTACATATTCTTGATTTGTCTATTAATGGTACCACCTGTATCAGCATTTAGTCTGAAACCTGAACCTCAGAGATTGTTGGCAGAAGAACAAAGAGTATGCAGGCCTACTTGTTTCTTAAGGTTCTTGAAGAGTGCTTTTTGACCTTTGTGTTCTTAAGGCTTTAAGGAGTGGTGCAGTTAAAAATTGTTATTGGGCTGAGGTTGTGGCTTAGTGGTAGAGTGATTGCCTTGCATGTGTGAGACCCTGGGTTCGATCCTCAGCACCACATAAAAATAAATAAGTGAAATAAACGTATTGTGTCCCACTATAACTAAAAAATAAATATT